ATGGTGGCCTTTGTAAGATCATCTGCAGCGATAGAGTAGTTCCTGGCTTTGTTACTTTAGAGTCTAAGTTCTTGGTGATTTTCAAGAAACTTCATGAGCTGTCACTCAGGTGGTGTGGGACCTCCAGCAATCTTCAGCTGCTATCTGCTTCACTTATGATGAAGTCTTAACCACTGGATCTGCTCACTCCTCTCTAGAGCTTCTATTCCAGTCTGTCTTTGGATCACTGATTTCCTGGTCTGACTTCCCCACTAGATTAAATCCCATGAAGGAAAGGACCAACCCCCTGGTCATGTGTCCCCTATGTCTGGTGCTATATGGCATACGTAGGCGCTCATGGAGGTCAAGTGGTTTTCAGCAGATGTATAAAGAAGGCTGGCATCTGTCTACCACCTACTTAGTAAACCTATGGATAAGTTAGTAACTCAGATCTTGGGAAGGCGTCTTAGGAAAACTAAAGATTAAAGGCAGCCTATAAAGTAAGAACTTTATTTACTCATAGTATCTGGAGCAAGTATTATGACACATGAGATAACTTGCAAACATTGTGTATCACCCAGGTTTTTAATCACCTCCTTTGCTTGGCAAATTGCATGCCCCACCCGCTACCCTACTCTATCCCCTACCACACACATCACATTTAGATACATAAAGGCAAGTAGGCACTGGGGCCAGCCCAGACCCAAGTGGGTGGCAAGATCAACTACTCCAGCCAGCACTCCCATCTTTTTTTTTATTGAAGTACAGTCAATTACAATGTGTCAATTTCTGGCGCACCGCACAACGTCCCAGTCACGCATATACATACAGATACTCGTTTTCATATTTCCATCTTATAATTTTTGCCCACAAAGTTATCTTGGAAATAAATACATGGCCAGGAATACCTTTCTCCTGCTCCACCCACTCATGTAGCATCTTTAAGATACAAAGTGGGCAAAGGATCTCTAAGCAAAGATTAGGCCATTTTTAGCAAAACTTCTGCATTTTCTCTCGCAGTACCCAGCAGGCATTCTCTTGTTCATTTAAAGCCCCCAAATCGCCAACAGGCCCGAACTTTTCTGGGGAACTTCATGTGGAAGGCAGAGTGTGCCAACTCTAAGGTATTACCTACTGTGTCATTGAGCCCCTGCAGTGTGTCTGGCCTATCCAACTAGGTGATATTAATGATTAGAGTTTTTATTGCAAACCAACAGAAGAGCTTAGCAAAGAGACACCAGTTTAGACTGAAAAAAATGCAGAGTGAAACTGAGATGATGTTCACTTCCAAAACCAGATTCTCCTAGAACTAAGACATTCTCTGTCTTTAAGTCCTACAAAAATCTATCAGTCCTCAGATTTCCTACCCTAAAACTCTTCAGATGGGACCAAAAAAAAAAAAGGCCCCTGGACCACTTGCTTTTGCTCAACATGTACATCTCATCCAGCATCTCTCCCCAGGGTATTCCTGGACTCTTTGCCTCAAAAGTAGTCTCTGCTATGGCCTAACCTGAGATTAAAAAAGTAGACAGGAACAAACTAAGCAATTGTGTCTCTCTACTAACCACCTGGAGAGCAGCTGACTGGCCCACCCTGAGCAGCACTTCTAAGGCAGGAGCATTCATTGTTAGGTATCATTACAGACCTTATCACAGTCCTTGGAAGCATTTAATTTTCTCTAGGCTAGTATGTGAAGGTGGCTTTCCAAAGAAAGGTCAGTATCCAAAGTCTATTTAATTATGACTTGAAATCATACAGGTGACTGCCTAAATTTGATCACTCTTCCCTCTACTGAGAAGGACAACTTTATTCATGTTCTGTAAGAAATAGAAAACGGTCTAGATAGTTAAAATTCATTCTCTGTATTTCTGTGCTGTGCTCCCCATCTTTTGGTCTTTGAGTCAGAACGTGAAGCCACGTGGCCGGGGACGGTTCTCCTGATCTTAGGACCATGTTCTAGGAGTTCTGATGAAGTCTTATCCGTGTGACATTCCTCCTGGAACAGAAGGGGTTTATGACTGGTTGTCACCTCTGCTAGAGTGGTAACAAACTACTCACGTGAAATTGAGTACATGGCAATCAAGTTTTAGAAAAGGCACTTCTTTTGAGCACGGAGGCTGCCATAATTAAAATAGGCCGTTTTGTTACACTGAAGTCTTAACATTTGGCAGCTCTACTGAACCTGGACTTTGTATGGGCTTCAGGTATCTGGGGACTTAAGCAGGACAAGCAAAGAATCAAAATGACACAGGGCAGGTACACAGTAAATGTCATGTAAAGTGGGCAACAGGGCGAGGTGGGGAGTAAGGCTGCTCCAGACCTCAAGCAGCTGTCACTGCCAGTGAGGGCTTGCCTGCTGACCCTACTTTAAAGCGTCCCTGCTCACATGCTCATTCTCCGGCCTAGACGAGGATTATGATCATTGCTACCTTCTCCTGGTGCTAACTGGATGAGCCAGGCTTACTTTCCCCTTGCCCTCCAGTCCCAGTCCCTCTAGGGACTGCCAATGTCACCAATCCATTCCCCACAAGAGGAGTTCTGTACTGTTTTGCTGGTTGCGAGCCATCTTGGCTCTGGCCTTAATGAATATATGGTACCCCAGATCCTAATCTTGACTACCTAGGCTAGAGGAAAATGTCTGAGAACTCTCAGGGATTTTTTTCCTATCAGAAAAACTCCTCTTGTTAGCCTGACTTCAGTTCCTTGCCAGAGTCTTAGAGCACATGTGCCCTGTCCTGGAGTATTTTACATCAGCATCATGTGTCTGGAGCAGGAGGTGCAGGGCAGAATGTGGAAGACCAGTGCCAGAAAGTCAGCCTACATGCTTTTGGACTTTGAACTTCAGACAGGAGCCAGTTTGGGTTAGCTTAGAGTCAGTACCTGCCTCAGCCAACCCCAAATTTCCTTCATTTCCAAAAGGATGTGCCTCCTTTCCTGTGAAGACTTTAAATCTTGCATGGGCTTCTATATTCCACTGTTCATGGCATGTCACATATTTCATTCGAGATCGAGGGGAGCACACGAGATCCTTACTTACCTAAAACACGGTGAATATATGGCTTCAACTAACTACAACAATTGAGGTGCATTCCTACCATTCTACAGGATAAAGTTAACCTCCAATGGAAACTTATAACAGATTAAATTAAAAAATGACATTGTGCTGTGCACCAGAAATCGACACAACATCGTAAACAGACTATACTTCAAAAAAAAAAAAAAAGAACATGCAGCAAAAAATGAATCTTCTCTCCCATCTTCCTGGACAGTTTTCAGTAGTTTCTGGTATGTCTTAGCTTTTTGGAATGCTATGAAAAGTATAATGCAAGTCATAGCACTACTCTAAGAAACCATTTAATAAGCTGGTATTGCTCAGCCATTAATATTGTTAAGAGTTTGAAAACTTTTCTAAGCAGGGCTTTTACAGCCTCTTAGTTCTGTTACTCATCAGAGGCCATATTCACTACACACTCGCCTTTTTCAAAGAGTCCAGGCAGGGGAAAGCATTCGAGAGAACAGTCCACTGGAGCCTGTCCGTTTTTTATGCTCCCTTAAAGATAACATTTTTCGGGCTGCTAAATTACCAGTCCGCGGAGCCATGTGACCAACCTAAACGTGATCCGGCCGCCAGCCAATCACAGGGCGCAAAAAAGACCGTCCCAGTTTCACACGCTCCGGACGGTCGGGACCTTGGGGCAGGGGAGCATTGAGAGACTCCAGACCCCGAGTATTGCCTGAGAGGCTGCTGGACCACACGCTTTAAAGTTCGCTCTCACTTCAGGAGACACGTGACTGCAGGCAGGAGGGCCTCCTAAGCCACCAGGCGACAGGAGCTAGACACTCTGGAGTGGGGACTTAGGTCGGGGAGAGTCTCCCGTCCCAGTTCCCCAAGCTGGCGAGCAAGCCTCCCCTTGGTGTCAGGTGAAGATCACTTCAGGTACCCGCCAGGATTCTGACGGAATCCTCTTAGAAGGGCTTCCGGTCGCCTGCCCGGGAAAGTTGTGCGGCCCCAAGTGGGAGAGTGGCTGAGGACAGGGCTCCCAGGCCCAGTGCGGCAGACCCTGGGGACTCAACAGTAGTCTCCACCGCCCTCCCCAACAAGCCACAGTCACACGCCAGCTCCCCCAGCTCTCGCGCTACTCCCTTTGATCTATTGTTTAGAATGAAGGCTAATTACAGTCACTAGATTAGGACTCAATTCTTCTCCAGGAAATCTCACCGGGAACCAGGCTCAGCAAACTAACCTGATTAAGTCTTCGTCCCCCTTCCCCTCCCCCGTTCAGCTATCCTGGAGACCCCAGAGGGTGACAAACGCTGTTAGGACTCCCCTCTGGATGTACCCTCCCCCCTTCCACGTTCCTATTTCAAACCTCACTCGTCCTCTAACCCGCACTCCAGAGAGACGGCCCGGCACCCGGGGAGTCGCAGTCCCGGTGCGCAGGCTGCGCACTTCTCGCCGCTCGGAGACTCCCAGCGGCAGCCCACCGAACGTGCGCCCGCTCACCGCCGCGGGGAACCCCAGCCCAGGCCCACGTCCTCGGAGGCGCCGACCCTCATCCACCGCCCGCTCCCACCCTCCTTAAGTCGGAGGAGAGCGCCGGGGGCTGCCGCGCACGTCTCGGCCCACCCGGCCCTCTGCCTCCTTCCTAACACTCCGCCTGGCAGAGGAGACAGAACCATTGTTCAATGGCTCCGAAACCCAGATTCCCCATCCCTGGCCAAGCGGGGTGAAAAACGAGGCATAGCAGTGGCTTTGGGGGAGGGAGAGTAAGGGAACGAAGACTAGTTCGGGCAAGGCTTTAGGACACCCCAAACCCCACCGTCCCCCAAGCCCGGCTCCCGGTAGCCGCGGTGCTGACAGTCAGCTCAGAGGCGCCACCAGGGTGGGGAGGGAAAGAAGGCGACAAGAGCGGAGAGACGCCTCCTAGGAGGGGGGTGGGCAAAAGGAGACCCGCGCCTCGGGGCCCCCTGGCGCCCCAGTTGGGTCCGGGCAGCCCGTGGAGGGGCGCGTCCTCACTCACCAGCTCCAGTGGCGCCGCTCTCCCGGGGCGCCCAGCACAGCGCGAGCAGCAGCCAGAGCGCCCAGCGCGCGGACGTGCCCATGGTGCCCGCCTGGATGGTGCCGCCGCTGCCGCCGCTCGCTCCGCACAACAAGTTACCAGCCCTTCGGAAAGGAGGAAGGAGGTGGGGGCGGGGAGGGAGAAGGGGGAGGGGAAGGAGGGGGGAAGGAGTTCGAAGGGGGTAAAGGGAGCAGGGAAGAAGAGGGCACCCCCTCCCCTACAACTTGCACAATCTCCTCCCTACCAGACAACCCACCCACCCACCCACTTCCCCGGGCTGCAGCAGCGATGCAAACCGAGCCCCGCGGGCAGAAAATAATGC